TATCCCATCATGTACTTCAATAACCTAACAGAAAGATAAAATAATTTATGTCAACTACTCAACTTTCATGTGTAAACATATTTATCAATTTATAGGTTTGATTAAAAATTTATATAAATTTTTTTTTCTTAAGTAACATACAAAAATATGTGATTTGACACTCTATTGAGAAGAAAAATGTTAAAAGTATTATCTCTCTTTATTATCTTTTTCTCCTTCTCCATCTGACAGCTAAAGTTGGCAAATCTTTCTTTTTGCATTTATTTCCTATCTTAGTAATTAAGAGCACAGGTGAACGATTGTAAATTTGGAAAAACCAAAATGTATTATTTATTAGCACGATCTTAACTCTTCAAGTAGAAGGTTTATTAGCTACTCAGATGCAGTAAAAACATCCGTATGTGAAATAAGCTGTATATGACTAGCAGGATACCTTAACGAAGCTTATTTTATTGCTATATACTTAAAAAAAAAAAAAAAAAAAAAAAAAAAAAAAAAAAAAAAAAAAAAAAAAATTGAAATATTCAGCTAAAAAAATTGATTATAATTATTTATTTATTATTTTAATTCAATAGTATAAAAAGTTGATAAGTTGTTAACATTGGATTGGATGTGACCTGTTGATTTTTATAAATGAACAGTTGAATTTAGATATAAATGTTTGGAAATCAAGGTCAAAAGATTCCATCATATACTTTTAAACTAACAGAGAAATATGTCAACTTTCATGTATAAATATATTATGTAAATAAATGTATTAATTTATGGGTTTTATTTAAAATTATAGAAAGTATTTTATATAAAACATGAGGCCTGCACCCACATATATTAATATGTATTTAAGATGAATATCATTAAGTGGAATATTTGTGACCAATGCAATTTAATTTCGTGGCTCTCAAATTGGTTAAATTATTATTGAAAGAACATTAGACAGACTGTAAGGCACTTGAAATCGTTTTAGTGTCCAAAAGAATCACGCAATCAACGTAAAATTAAGGATTTTCAGAAATATATAAAATAATCAAGGTTGTAATTAATAATGGAACACTAATTTTCACAATAAAATGATCAAGTAAAATTTTGGAGGACGTGCTAGTTCATGGTAAGTATTAGTAATTATAAAATAATAATAATAATCAAGAGGTTTCATAGCCGTGAATTGCGCTTTTAATTTAAAAAAATAAAGATTTAATCAATTTCATATTGAAAAGAGTAAAATATATTTTAATGTATTGTTGATTAATGCTAACTTAATTAATCTTTCTTAAATTCATTGTTTATTAACGCCAACTAACCTGAGGATGTATATTTGAGCTGAGAATCCTCCCTGCAAAGACAACCTTATACGTATGAAATATCAATCCTTGACTTGTCGGTGTACTACAATTAATTAATTCATAATATATTAATATCGTGTTGTGAAAACAATGACACTGTTTCAGACCTCTTACTATTTGGTTGCAATTAAGAAATCTAACACGTTATATTTGTTTATTCCTTTAAGCTTTTTCTAATGAATCTAATCAGTATGCCAGCTTATCAAAAAGTCGTAGATTTGATAATTAATCACCCCATTTGAGATTTGACTTCTTTTAGATAATTACTGTAACAAAAAATTTCCATCAACATATAATATGATATATATTTCTTATATAGTATGTGCTACACATAAATAAACCCATTAACAACACAATTAATTATAACCACGAAGATAGAAACGATATTTCTAAGATAATTATTATATTATATAGATATTATTAATTACACAAATCTTAACTACTAATTTCTTTAACATGGCGGCATGTCTTGTGGGGGAGGTAGCATCCTTGCTTCAGGTTGTTTGCCGTTCGTCACGATGGATACAGTTTCCATTCCCCAAGTGAGATGCCTCTCTATACGACAGTGCAAGAACCAAACTCCTGTACAAACAAGAAAAAGCCATAATTATTAGATATAATTGACGATAGTATCATATGAAATAAGAGTTAATTACATTTACCTCTAGGTAGAGCCGACGGTAGGCCGTGCCAGCAACACGGCACGAAAATATGCGGACCGTGCTGTGGGCCTTAAAAAAAGTTTGTGGGCCGGCACGGAATGGCATGAAAAAAATAAAATTAAATAATAATTAAAAAATATTCTAAGAATTTAGAAATTAATGAAAATGAAGATGTATAATAATTCTTAATCCTAATTTCTAAGTTCGTATTTATAATTTATAATTATAATTTATAAGTAATAAAAAGTGTTGAAATTTAATTAATATTTCAGTGTCTCATTATTTTATTATATTTTATATATTTTTAATTAATATAAATACAAAAAGTCACTAAATAATAACCGTCAAAGAAGAAATTTACAGAATCTAGGTTTGTAAAACTCGGACAATATCAAAATGAGGGGTATTATAGTTTGTAAATAATAAAAATCCTTTCAATTAATCAATTATGTAAATATTTGTGCTCAAATCATTTTGTTTATCTTCTTTGTTGAATGGTGACTAGAACATAATTCCGTTGTTGATGCTGGAGCGTGTCCTCAGTGTATGAATCTTGGGAGGAGCTCAAGCTTGTCCGGGGGTACTGTTCTTGGTGTGTGAAGCGATCCAAGAGTGACGAAACATTAGGGAATCAGAGGGTGATGTTTAGCATATCGTAGATCACAGAGTTCATTTTGCTGTATCTAAAATCAACTCTGAATTTTTGTTCTTGTAATGTTTGATGTTACAGTCGATTAGCTTCGATCTGGACGAAATCCTATGAATGTAGGTTAAAAGTGATTTTAACCTAATCATATATATATTTGTGTTCTTTACGTGTGCATGCTTATGTTTGTTGGTTCATACTTAACTTGACAATGTTTAAGCAACATGGTAAAAACATCCCTTGTGCTTAAAAAATGAGTACCTAAACATTGATCAGAGTTCATTAATTCTAACAATGTTTTTAGCTATTTAGCGAGTGTCACCTACGCTTGCTTGCTTCTTCAGTTAAAAAGATTTTTTTTTTTATTGGGTAATCACGGTAATATAATTGAAAAAATAAAAAGAATACAAAAGAAAGAGGAAATCCTCTACGCAGAATCATCTTGGACAGGCCCAAGAGAGAAACACAAGAGGCAGGGGGCAAATAAAAAACAAGCTCCAAAGGACATGGAGAGCAGGAGGCCACTAAACAAAAAAGGCATTATAAAAAATGTCTATGGATTTCTTTAGGTATACTTGTGGGAGTTGGTACATGAATATATATAGGGAAACGAGATGGTGATAATTTAAGGAAGTCGGTCAATAGAGATCAGTGTAAAAACAAGAAAATAAGAAATAATTTGTACACTCTTACAAAGTAAATTGCATATTTCGGCTCATTTTCTACGTTACAATGCATTAGACATTATTCTTTCTGTATGTAATTAGATTGTTATCCATTTTTCAGTATGTATGATAAATGATACTGTGTTACTATAGCCCAACCTAACTATGTTAGCAATTTGGATAGAAGCATAACCAAGAATTTAGTTTTAGTTGGGCTACTATTTTTTATTTTTTTTATTTTACTCAATAGCACAAGAAATTTGGACCGCTTCATGCATGCATCGTAGATTTAAGGTACTTAATCTGTAGCAAAGGCAATTAAATTTGCTTTTGACAATTCGATCAGATACAGAATTTTAAATAACACATTGTAAATTTGGTGTATTTGAGTTGAAAGATGATGAAATGCATTTAGCTATATATTATAAAAACAATTCGTTGTATGTTATAAATCCTGGTAGCATAGTACATCTATTATTTTCATTTTTGCTGGTGGTATTTGTTGAATTTTTAAGTCAATATGACATCGAGATGACGCCAATTAATCAATGGTCTGAAGAAAGATTGACTAATTTACAAAGATAAGTTCTCAACTACCTCCCTAAAACAATGAGTATATGTGGATGCTAATGGCATCTTTCTTTATTCCATATGGTCAAATTTAAGCCAAATTTAGTATGCATATAACTTATGAGAATCTAGAATTAGAGGTAACTTATAGAAAAGATTTCTCGTCAGCGTAACGTAATTTAGTTCCTTAAGATAACAGAGTTTCTCATTTCTCACAAAGTCAACTTCTTATCCTTTTTAGGCTAAGCATCAACAATTTTCTCTTTTTATTTGTATTTTACGCTGATTAAATAATAAGTAATGATTAGGTGATCAACTTTTTCCTTATAAGGTTAAATTTTGATGCTTATCTTATTAAATTCATTTTGGTTTATTCAGGATTTGTATGTTAACTTCATATCTAAGCAAACATCCATGAAAATCTCGTAAATTGTAAGTGGCTTTAAAATATTATTTCCAGCTCTAATTACTATGGGAGGCTGAGTTGCCTTTCCATTTCTCAAATCATTTTCAGAACTTGATGTTGTTAATTTTATATCAATTGGTCACAATATAATTAAAATATTGCTCTAAAAAATTTTATGATACCTGATTAGTATCAGTAATATGAAATGGTTTTTATTTTTTAATTTTCAACAAGAATTTTTTAAATTTATTTTTAAGAAAAACACACATTTTAGAAGAAACTTATGGCTTTAATATAAATTAGAACTTAATTGACACTTTGAAATTGTTGGGGATAAATAATGAAGCCCAATGGGCCGAATACTAGAGCCCATAAGTTGGGACGAGAGGAGGTACCGAAAGTAAGCCCAACCCAAATGCTTGAATAACATCATACGGGCCACAATTTTTAAAATATCACTATTACAATTTTTTTTTTTTTTTAAATAAAGTTATATTTACAAATTTATGGTGAATTTTTAATAAAATTAATAATAATTAAAATTTAAATAAGTTATTCGTCGTTCTTGATTGTTATATATTTATAGTTTGTAATATGTTAATGACTTTTTACATTACTTTCTACAGCGATAACTACTGGAAGAAATAGATTTGGAAAAAAGGAAATTACAATAAAGGAAAAGATTCCATTGAACAAACGATATTGGTTCTAAAGTTGCTACAATTACAAATCATCACCACAAAACACTATGTTTTGCAGATTATTCAATTAAACAATAAATGATATTATTCCTTAAACATTTAAAATATGAATGAAAGAGAGAAAATATTCTAAGAATATGATCACTTAAGAACAAGGAGGCATGTGAGCTGGTGGTCGTCGAATTTTCTGATCCATGGATTTCCCATTCTTTACAATCAGAACTGTATCCATTCCCCAGGTTGCATGCCTTTCTAAGTGACAATGCAGAAACCACACTCCTGTCAAAAGCTCAAAATTATTCGAGTTAGGCAAAATATTTAACAATAAATTCATGTTAGAAGAAAAAAGAAGAAAACTTTTGTCGATAAAAAAGAAAAAAAGTTGATAAAGACATGAATATGATTGGAAGTAACTTTTTTTTATTTATTAAAATAAATTATATTTTCTATTTTGTTCAAACAATAAAAATATTAAAAGATAAAATTTCAGTCAAATTTCTCATATAAAAAATTCAAACAATTATTTCTTTTGTACATTCCTTATATTAGGATGATATGATATATATGTTGAAACCAAGTGAAGTGGAGATCGTACCAGGATTCTCAGCAATAAATCGAATGGCGGCCCATCCATTTTTAGGGAGGTTAATAGTGTTAAGTTCTGGTGGGTCAACTAAATTATAAGTGGAAGGGTCAGTCACATTGTTGAAATTCCCCGAACCTGTCCCAACCAGATAAAAGCTGAAACCATGTAAATGCATTGGATGACTTTCCGGAGCCCCAAGATTGGTATTCTGGTACACAATTTCAACCACTTCACCATAATTTATCATCCTCGCCTTTGTCCCTTGGGCTGTGTACAATGTTATGTTGGACACATCTCCAGTGAAGTTAAAAAAATCAAGCGGCTCACTCGGGAAATTTCCATTGAAAACGTTGCCCAACCTCCTACATGTAGATATATTTTAGAAAAATGTCATTAATATCGAATCAAAGCCCAAAACCAATTTCAAATATTATCTCAAATATACAAATTATTTCCTATATACTTATACATAATTGCATTCAATCATTTAATTTTTTTTTTTTTAAATTTAAAATCAATTTATATAAAAGGGTTTGTACATAAAATATTATCGTACCTATAATATGCTTGTAGTATATCGATTTTAGGAGTCTCGAAACTGATGTTGTTTAAGCTTGCAGATTGCCTATCACCCGCTGTGGTATTGCACGAGTTGTTGGGGCACAATAATCGATTTAAAGCTACTGATATATAAATCCGCGTGGTGATATTTTTCGGGACATTGATGGGATGTTCTTTACTGGCTAAACTCCTTACGCGCTTGGTGAAGTTTTCTGCGGCTTCTGTGTTATTGTAAAAAGGAAGGTTCGGGAAGAAAGGAGAAGATGGGGCACTGTATTTGCCTTCGTACTGAACAACTGCGGTAGTTGTTGAGTTGTTAAATGCAACGGTGCTATCGAAGAAAGGAGCAGAAGCCATGTAATAGTGGCTAAGATTTTGGTTTGCGGTGAACAAAATGTCCATTGTTTGTCCAGGAGTTATCATTATATAATTCGTGTTTATCGGTTTTATGTATGCTCCATCTTGCCCAACAACTGTGAGATTGTGTTTTGCAATTGCGAAAAAATGTTCTTCGTTCATCACGGCATTCACAATGCGAAGAAGATAGGTCTTGCCATATTTAACTTTCAGGCGATAAATTGAGTCTGTAACAAATGAAAAAAATTTGATAGTCAGATAAATTTTAAAATACAATTTTATTCTAACAACTGAATAAAATTATTTATGAGAGATGTTAAAATATATACCACTGGAGCAATTGTATCGGTCTCCTGGTTTGCCGTTGATGGTGAAGGCATCTGATGTGCTTGGATTGACTCCAGTTTCAATGGAATTAGTAATCATCGCCTGTACATCTTGCTTGTACCAGGATGCTGCCAATTATAAAATCAAAATGAAAAATATTAATTTAATTTACTTCGATTAAAATATATTAATGCTGAATAAATTAAAAGACCTGAAGTAAAAATACCAAGTATGATTGTCCTTTGCTTGTAAGGTTTAGGAAATGGGTAAGTTTTTCCAGCAGCAGGTGAAATAACAATAGCGCCATGAACTGATACGCGAGTCCAGTCACTGTGGGCATGCCACCAAAGGGTTCCTTCTTCGGTGGACAATATCACCTCATAAGTGAAGTTGTCTCCTGGTTTAATTGGACATTGTGTTATGTTCTCTGGACCATCTGACCATGGATTCCTTGGTTGCTTCACTCCATGCCTGCAGAATTTAAAAGAAAACTCTTCAGATTCTTTGGATTTTTGATTCGTCATTATATAAATCTAATAAGCCCTTTCACATGAAACTTGGATTTTCTTATGTCCCACTTAAAAGCCTATACTAATAGGTGAATAGTTGAGGGCTCAACATTATTTAGGTCCAAAAAAAAAAAGACAGTGAGAGTCATCACCAGTGAATGGTGACACCATATTTTCCTTGATTGTGGACATTAACAATCACGGTATCTCCTCTACGAGCCTTGATGGTTGGCCCCGGAAAACTGCCATTTACAGTCAACAAGCTTTTCGTGCTACACAGCTTTGTAAAATTCGATTCTTGAAGCTGTAACATAGAAATACCATTCAGCATTTTAATATTAAATGTTAACAAATATCAATATTAACAAAGGCAGCTGAAAATGTAGACATATATAGGAGCTGAAGCACTTACAACAAAATCGTAACAGCGGATTTGGGGACGAGCCATGCAAAGGAGCAGACCATCAAGAAAAAAGAACCCTAACAATCCTAAAATCAAACCCATTTTTTTCGTATCCATTTTTCTCTTGCTTTTGTGTTCTCAGGTTGCCACTTAACTCTTTGTTCTGCCATCTTTAGCTGCATCGGCTTGCCATTTATACTGTGAGAACAGGAAAAACTTTTGAAGAAAAAAAATAATATCATTAATTATTACGCAAAATAAACACGTGAAGTCAACATATAAGTTGTGAAGTTGGCATTAATAAATAGTCTCCGTAACTACTCTATCAAAATGATTGAATAGCAACAAGTAAATCGCTATAAATTTATATATATATATATTTGTGAAGTTGGCATTAATAGTCTCTGTAACTACTCTATCAAAATGATTGAATAGCAACAAGTAAATCGCTATAAATTTATAATAGTGTATATATATATATGTTATTAGTTTATTCATGTTCATCACTTTTTACTTTGAGATAAGATCATTTTAGAGTAATGATACATTGATACTTATACAAAATAATTATTCAAATTATTTCTTACAAACTAATGTAATAAACCTGCATGTTTGACAACTCATCTATTTTAATTTATATAACTATCATAAAATTAAATTAAAAGACGTTAGTTTGTATGATCAATTTATATATCCTTATTTTAAGGGTTAGAATTATCTATAGTTGGAAAGCTGAATTACTTTGACTTCATTTATTTCTTCATAGCCGTTGTGTAATTAATGGTCTTACTGTTATCTTCATATTAGTTAAATTTATTTTCATTATCCTCAGATGTATAGAGAGTGAAATGGTGCAGCATATTTCCTTGTCAAAATTAACTTACAATATAAGACTTTTAGACGGTGGAATTGAGCTCTCTCTACAATTGTTGGCCTTCTTCTCCACCAAAGTTGGAACTTACCTCACTATATATTTGTATAATTTTTTTTTTTCTAGCTTGAATTTAGGAAGCATGCATGCATTTTGTTTTCATTATGAGGGGCAGACTCTTCATATCCTTTGGTTAGGTGTATTTCCTCTTTTTAATCAATAAATTTCCCTCGTTACTTAGAGATTCTTGAAAGAAAGAAAGAAAAAATATATATATAAATAAACATATTACAATTATAAAATAGAGTAAACGTCATAATATTTGTTTGTATGTTACAAGTAGGAAAATGTTCGAGTATAATTTTTTTCTTATATATCTTACAATAATATTATATTTATACAAAGTGAGGTAATAAAAAATGAATAGAAGAAGAAAACAAAAAGTCAAATTTATTATATTCATTTTTTCATTCATTTTTTACTAAATCACTTTATATGAAGATTTTTGTAAGATTTATGTATAAATGTAGCGTTATTCTGTATCTTAACCAAAAGAAAAAAATTATACACGAATTCATACCAATTACCAAACCTGCTGTAGATGGAAGTAATTAAGATTTATTTATTTTAAAGCATGTGCAAATGATGAGAAATATTATAATCCAATTAGCTGTTTAACACGTTTTCGTATTTAATTTCTAGCAATCCATCGCTTTAAATTAAGTTTATTCTTATATAATCTTTTTATTAATTAAACAGCTGGTGCCTGTTTCTCATCTCGTACTATATGCTATATTCCGTATGAGCCTCTTAATTTCAGAGGCAGATGGGACGTTGTTTTTAAACATAACCACAGAACAAAAGAAAAGGGTTCGAATATTCTTAAATGAATTATACTTTACAGCCAACTTTTGTAATGTCTTATGTGTTAATTGTTATGTTCATATAAGTTATAACCACCAGATCATTTTCGTCATGTGAAGTAGTGAACATTAACTACACTGGTAGGCATGCAAGGGAGAACGATATTTTCCCACCCAAGGTTTGACGAAATGACACTTTCCCACCCTTCGTTAGGTTCTGTTATGTTTTTCTCATCTCGTACTATATGCTATATTCCGTATGAGCCTCTTAATTTCAGAGGCAGATGGGACGTTGTTTTTAAACATAACCACAGAACAAAAGAAAAGGGTTCGAATATTCTTAAATGAATTATACTTTACAGCCAACTTTTGTAATGTCTTATGTGTTAATTGTTATGTTCATATAAGTTATAACCACCAGATCATTTTCGTCATGTGAAGTAGTGAACATTAACTACACTGGTAGGCATGCAAGGGAGAACGATATTTTCCCACCCAAGGTTTGACGAAATGACACTTTCCCACCCTTCGTTAGGTTCTGTTATGTTTTTCTCATCTCGTACTATATGCTATACTCCGTATGAGCCTCTTAATTTCAGAGGCAGATGGGAAGTTGTTTTTAAACATAACCACAGAACAAAAGAAAAGGGTTCGAATATTCTTAAATGAATTATACTTTACAGCCAACTTTTGTAATGTCTTATGTGTTAATTGTTATGTTCATATAAGTTATAACCACCAGATCATTTTCGTCATGTGAAGTAGTGAACATTAATTACAATGGTAGGCATGCAAGGGAGAACGACATTTTTCCATCCAAGGTTTGACGAAATGACACTTTCCCACCCTTCGGTAGGTTCTATTATGTTTTCCGTTAATATTTTATTAAAAAGACAAAAGTACCCTTAAAAGTTTGACTTTATAAATTTTTAATTAGCTAAAAAGTCAAAAAGAAAAAGTAATTAGTTCCACCTAAAAAGTTAAGAATAATGCTATGAAATTGTTTAAAGTTAAATTATTTTAATATTTATTTATTTATAATGTCATCAATATCTTATTACCATTATTCAATAATCTATTAAATTTATAATGTTTTTCATAATATAATGTTTTTCATTTTTCCTAATTAATATAAAAAATTAATATTCCTAATTAATTAAATAAACAAAGAAAAAAAAGTATCTTTACACTTGAACTAATAAATAATCGATTAAAGACTTTGACTTAATTAAATTTTAATTTATAATAAACTAATTAAGAAATAAACTATTTAAGGGTATTTTCGCCTTTTTAGTCAAATATTAACAGAAAACACTAACAGAACCTTACGAAGGGTGGGAAAGTGTCATTTTAAAACTTGATGGGTGGGAAAGTGTTATGTTGTCAAACCTTGGGTGTGAAAATGTCGTTCTCCCGGCATGCAATAGAGAATTCTTTATAATAAACTTTTCTTCTACTATATGTATATAAAAACCGATTTAAGATTCTTTTATGATTTGAGCTTTTCTCAACTTTCAAGGATTTCATAACACGTATATTTTTACTTATTTATAATTCCGATCCATTTCTCTATTATATTTTTATTTTTAACTATCAATCACAAATTTTTATTTTTTCAGGTAAAACCCAACCTGAGGGAGGCGAGGGATGATCTAAGTTAATTATTTGCATAAATTTCGATTAATTCAATTTTCATAATTTTTTATTTCTGTCATTACACTGCAATATTGATGATAGATTAAACTGCCAGACCTCTCATTTATTTTTTATTGGTTTATTTAAGTCTTTTTTTTTTTTTTTTCTGAATACCCCACATGCATAATTATTTTAAAAATTCATGTCACTGTTTGTTGCACAAACTTTTATTAGAATACATCGGATTGATTCATGGCCACATGAACAAATTAGGTGGTTCCCTTAAAAAGAAACAATATAAAACTTTTGGATTTCACAGTTTGATACCTTTCAGCTGGTAATCACGTATCTTTTATACTTAAAGAAAGATCCAGTACCAACTCTTAGATTTTTGCTCTTGGATCAATGGGAAATGTCCAAAACATTTAGCTGTAATTACAAAGAAAATTCTATTCGATGTCAGCTTAGCGAACCTACATATAATTTTACACTTAATCGACCACGATGCTTTTGTCTCTTCCTTTGTAATGTAGCACGTTTTGAGGATCAATAATACACTATTTAATGATCGGCACTGTGCTTTTCTTTTATTTCAAAAGATCCTTAATTTCTACATATTTTGACATACAAAGCGGCAGGTAGCTATACATATTCCTATGTTAATTTAATGTCACTTGCTTCAGAATAATTAAATATATATTACAACTTAACGAAGAAGAACTCAACTATATCTACATGCAGTATCGGACCCAGGATTTTTGTCGAGGGGGAGCCTCTGCGGCTCCACCATTGTTTGCTAATCAACTAGTGAAAACTTTTAAAAAATCACAAAACTTTGAACAAAGAAAATAATACAATATTAAGAAAGAAACTGAAAAGAAAGAATGCAATAACATAATATTTTTCTATTTGAATAAATATATGAGAAACAAAACTTTGAGCAAATGTGTTGAAAATAACATTTAATTTACAAGGAAACACAAGAAATTTTTTACGTAGAAAAACCTTCTCAATGTGAAGAGAGTAAAAAACCCTAAATTGACCTAATTTGCTTTTAGTTCAAATTCTTCTCTTGCCAATTGATGTTTTATGAAAATTTATGATGAAATTGGAAGGGAATAAACAAGGGCCTAATGTAAAAATGAGTTGAGTTATATATACTTTTAAAGTAATATTTTATATGATTAAGTTCTTTAAATGATTAAATAGTAAACAATTATGTTTGTTCTTAGCACTAGATTGTCATGATTAAAGTTTAATGAATGATTTAAATTGAATTATACTCTGATTTTTTTTCAATCATGTCACGTCATTGTAAATAGTTAGATGATAGATTTGTGAAAAGAATATAACATAAACTTTTGAAATTTATTAAAATGAGGGAAAAATAATGTTAATTATTAAATAGATCATTAATTTATAATTATATAAATTATTAATTTTTATTTTATTAAAAAGAGGTTAAGTTTTAATATAAAATCTTTTATTAGTAAAGAGAATTGACATCTATTAAGTAATTAATTAGGTAGATGGATGAAAGATAGAAAGATAAGTATATACGAGATGACAGTGAAACATTAAATATCATAATTAATAGTAATTTGTGTGGTATATTAAATGGATTAAAGTAGGAGAAATGGGGAAGATAGGAAAGTCAAATTAATAAAGAAAGGTTTAATCCAAAACGATAAGAGAGACTCTAGGGAAGACTTTTTCGTAGAAAAGAATTGGTTTTTTTTATTTAATTTTTTAAATTTGAGGGTAGACCTGGGTCGCCCCTGTCTATATGTAAATAAAAATCATTTGAGTTGAAGAAATTATTTTGTTGATTGTTGAACCTTTGCAATCACATATTAGTCTATCGAGTTTAGGGTATCGCGACTAAATTTTTATTTGGCAATCAAAATACTAATAAATAAATAAAATAAAAATATACTACTTGTCTTTTTTTTTTTTTTTTTTTTTATTGATAAGTAAGTAGTATCATAAAAGAGAAAAATATGTATAGAGAAGCCATAAAAAACCCAGCCATCCTCCTTGGTAAGAACAAAAAACAAGTCTAATAGAGTGAGAACTTAATCTCCTTGTTTGTCTATCTTAAGCACGCAAGACAAGATGAGAGGGGCAGCAAAGAAATATGAAGACATTCTACCAATAAATGGCCTGGGATAGGATCCAAAAAATCTAAACAAGACTAAAAAACTATACACACCATCTTTCTTCCCCAGGACAAGCATGGGGTTAGGAATACTCATGTTCTCACATGTTGGTTTTGAAGATTAGAGCTGTCAAAATCGGTCCAAGCAGCCCGAGCCTAGGCCCGTTTGGGATTGGTCCCATTTGGGACCAGTCGCCCCTGTCCCAGCCCGACTAATTTCAGGACCCAGACCAGTCCCTAGGATTGGTGCTATGGCCCAGACCGTCTTATGGGCCTGCAAAATTTATTTTCCCCCTATTTTTTTAATATTTTAGGGGCGAAATGAATTTTGTAGGGAGGTTTAGTAATTTTTAGGGGTAGATTAGTAAGTTTTTAAAAGTTTAATTAATTTAAAAAAATAATAATAATAAATAAATTAATGGTAATTTTAACATAAATGTAATATTCACACAATCACACATTCATGCTTCAAAAATAAACATTAAATAATTTTTTTTATTAAATTATCATCTTCATCGTCAACAATATTTAAAATATTAAAATCTGTGTTCCTAAAGGTTCGAATAGTTTGAGATCTTCAGGGTGTTGTTGTATTCTTCTATTTGCATGAGTTCTAATCCCGTAAACACGTTATCACTTCAATCATCTCATCGGTTAAGAGCATATTATGTCTTCAACAATTCGACCACTCGTTGAAAATGCTGACTCGGATGCAATTGTAAAAACCGGCATAGATAAAAAGATAAAATTCACGTGCCATTTGGGCTACAATGGGGAATCACTTTGATGTTGTTCCACCATTGAAGCAAATCCATCCATGTTTCTCCTTCATCGTCATGAGGCAAGTCTATTTGTAGGTAGCGATTCAACTCTTTGGCCCATGTATGTATGAGCTGGAGCTCTGCACTTCTGCATGTTCCATATACGTCCACATGCCGATTCTTCTGGTGGTTTTCATCAGGGTTTATCATCTCATGGATTTTCCACTTCCACTTCCATTGTACCTGTATTGATATAAAAAAAAAAAAAAGACTTTCAATTTTTGCTTAAAGGTCCAATAAGACATATAATTATGTCCTAAATGCTGGCATATCTCAGTAATTAACAGTTAACTATGTGTATTTAAACCTAGGATCTACAACAAGACCTAATCCATATAAAATGGAATATCTAACCATATTTCTCGTATTTTTCTTCCATCTTTACAATTTCCATTAAAACGTCTTATATCTATATTTAACAAAGTTTTAGAAATTTGAAGTAAAATATCTAATGTATAATCATACATAAGCTTGACAACCTTCCTCCTCTGGATAGTTCTTCGGTTGACAATCTATAATTTGTCTTGCGGTTGGCAAAACTTTTTCTAACATCAAGTAGGTGGCTTCCAACGGATAGGCATGTTCTACATAACTCCAAAGGTCGAACTAGTGGGTTCTCTTGCCTACAATATTTGACTGTTCCTGCCATCTTTTATCCTACCGTCGACGATAAATCCAATAGTCGCGGCACCCTCTCCATCTTCAAATTTATAGCATCTAAACCTGCTTTAACAATCAAATTGATGATGTGGCAACCACATTTCTGGTGAAAAAATTTGCCTTCACCATGGGATCTATCTCTTTCAAATAAAGAGATTGTTGCGTGTTAGCAGCTGCATTATCAAGGTAGCGCTACAACTATATCATTTTATACAGAGTCTTGTGAAACTTCAAAAATTGTAAAATAAATAGTGTCAGCACTATGTTTTTCATATAATAGTTTAAAACCCATCAATTTTTGTTGTAAACCCCAACTATGATCTAAAAAATGTATTGTGACAGTTAAAAAAAATCTGTTTTTGATCTACAAGCCCATATATCTGATGTAAGTGCAATAAATATATTCCTAAAATTTTGAAATTCGTTTTTAAGTTTATTATTTATTTTGTTATCAAATTTTAGTATATCTCTTCTACTTGTACTTCTACTAACAAGGGTATATGCTGGACAAAATGCAGTTTTAATCATGTGAATGGATTTTCAGATAAACAAATAGGAGAGTCCATAACAACTATGAATCTTGCTATTTCTTCTCGTGCAACATGTGCATTGTATTACCATGTTGAGAGAGTTGACGATTGTGGATTAAAATTAAGTTGAGTTTGAATTTGCCTATCTGATCTAGTTGAAGATGTACCGGACAACTGCATTATTTGGGGGTGTTCTTCTGTAAGTGTCGTCGCATCGTCGAAGTCCACTTCTCAGTTCTAATAATGGTTCCACATAAATTACATACCCCACATGATTCTTCCCCCTTCCCATTTGTCTTTGGCCGTTTTGATTTGGTGAAGTGTCGCCATACATCAGACACGACCCTCTTTGACGGTCGGGGGGTTGGGCCATGCCCGTGCTTGTTGAGTCACAGCTCACTTGTGTTTAGCTGCACCTCGTCCCGACCGAATGTGGTTGTTGAATTGCAGTTGCGGCCTCTGGAGGAAAGGGTGAAAATGGATTGAACCCTTCCATTTCTTCGGTGGATGGAAGTAGAGAGATTGAGAGATTGAGTGGTATGAAAAAAATGAGAAATTTAGAAGATATTTATAGTGTAGCATTGGGGAAGGGGAGAGAAATGAATCCCCAACACCCCGGCGGGTGCCAACAGTCATGTGACTATTGGCTGCCAACTAACAGTTATTAAATGGCATGCACCTTTTTTTTTTTTCCCTTAAATTTTGTAAAAAAAAATTAATCCCTATAATTTTTGTTTATTTCAAAATTTATAAAGGGTTTTATGTAATTATTTAGAGGGCTAAAACAAATAAACCAAAAGGGTTTAGGACCAGGCCTGGGAAACTGTTGGTAGCAGCCAACGGTTATTAAATGGCATGCACATTTTTTTTTTTCTTAAATTTTGTAAAATTTTATTTAATCTCTATAATTTCTGTTTATTTTAAAATTTATAGGGAGTCTTATGTAATTGTTTAGGGGCTAAAAAAACAAACCAAAAGGGTTTGGGCTCGGGCTTTGGAGGAAGGCCCAGTGGAGGGACCGAGCCCTCCTCCTTAAGCTTGGTCCAATTTTAGAATCAAGCCTATTAAGACCAGATTTTTGGGCCGGGTTTTTGGACCCGGTCCCAAATGCCTAGAGGTAATTCCCAAATCCAAGTTTTCTATTGGCCATGGAAGATTTCATTTTTTTGATATCCATGACCCTACCGCTCACCATGTTCCCAATGTGGTTGTGAATTGTCCAAGCATCCATAAAACTAATTGTTATTTGTTAACTCATATCTTTGATTTTGTGTTAATGACGCCTGCATATGAAATCTCTGGTCTATAATCTTTCAAAGATCTTCATATTCATACAAGATATGCATCGGAGCTTTGTCATCACTCAAATTTATTATTTCTACCAAACTTTGGTAATTAGAGGGAGAGCGAAGAATTATTTATCACCATCTATCGTTCATAATTTGGCTATAACAATAATTGTAAGAAAAAAACAAGTATCCTTTATACAAGCAACGAAAGACAAAGGAATTGTGGTGTGCATAGAGACATTTTAAGAATCGATAACTTGTTAACTAATCTGTTAATCTCTCTATCTACAAGATTTTGTTTTCTGTATTCACTCTATTTTCAGGAGTTTATTTGGTTGATCTTTTTATTGTTATTTGCATCACTTTGGTTCTTTAATTCCACTCAAACAAGCTCTTAAAGATTTAGTTTGAATTAGTTCACAAAGTGCTTGACAAAAGTCTCAGCTGAACAAAAGTGAACACTAACATTGGTTTCGGGTGTGCCACCATCACGATGGAAAATATATCATTAAATAAAAGATGAACCCCCAACATCTCATATACAAAAATTATTTATGTTTTATCTATTATTTAATTCCATTATTCCAAAATGGAAATTATTCTTCAAATTTCATCTATTGGATTTAAATCTATTCGTGTATGCGAAGTTCAATTAGCCCTGTGGGTGCCATACAAACACCCAGGGAACTTTGATTTTCAAAGTATGACTAATAACAAGGAGGCATGTAAGGAGGAGGCCGTCGAATTTTGTGACGCCTGTAGTTCTTTACAATGAGAACTGTATCCATGCCCCAGGTTGCATGCCTTTCCAAATGACAATGCATAAACCACACTCCTGAAACAACGAAAAAAAAAAAAAAAAAATGGAACTATTGTCAGTAAGATTTTTGATAGAAGAAAGAAATGATTCGATTTGTAGGTGGGAGATTTTACCAGGATTGTCAGCAACAAATCGAATGGCAGCCCATCCATTTTTAGGAAGGTTAATNCCCAATGTGGTTGTGAATTGTCCAAGCATCCATAAAACTAATTGTTATTTGTTAACTCATATCTTTGATTTTGTGTTAATGACGCCTGCATATGAAATCTCTGGTCTATAATCTTTCAAAGATCTTCATATTCATACAAGATATGCATCGGAGCTTTGTCATCACTCAAATTTATTATTTCTACCAAACTTTGGAAATCAGAGGGAGAGCGAAGAATTATTTATCACCATCTATCGTTCATAATTTGGCTATAATAATAATTGTAAGAAAAAAACAAGTATCCTTTATACAAGCAACGAAAGACAAAGGAATTGTGGTGTGCATAGAGACATTTTAAGAATCGATAACTTGTTAACTAATCTGTTAATCTCTCTATCTACAAGATTTTGTTTTCTGTATTCACTCTATTTTCAGGAGTTTATTTGGTTGATCTTTTTATTGTTATTTGCATCACTTTGGTTCTTTAATTCCACTCAAACAAGCTCTTAAAGATTTAGTTTGAATTAGTTCACAAAGTGCTTGACAAAAGTCTCAGCTGAACAAAAGTGAACACTAACATTGGTTTCGGGTGTGCCACCATCACGATGGAAAATATATCATTAAATAAAAGATGAACCCCCAACATCTCATATACAAAAATTATTTATGTTTTATCTATTATTTAATTCCATTATTCCAAAATGGAAATTATTCTTCAAATTTCATCTATTGGATTTAAATCTATTCGTGTATGCGAAGTTCAATTAGCCCTGTGGGTGCCATACAAACACCCAGGGAACTTTGATTTTCAAAGTATGACTAATAACAAGGAGGCATGTAAGGAGGAGGCCGTCGAATTTTGTGACGCCTGTAGTTCTTTACAATGAGAACTGTATCCATGCCCCAGGTTGCATGCCTTTCCAAATGACAATGCATAAACCACACTCCTGAAACAACGAAAAAAAAAAAAATGGAACTATTGTCAGTAAGATTTTTGATAGAAGAAAGAAATGATTCGATTTGTAGGTGGGAGATTTTACCAGGATTGTCAGCAACAAATCGAATGGCAGCCCATCCATTTTTAGGAAGGTTAATGGTGTTAAGTTCCGGTGGGTCAACCAAATTATAAGATAAAGGATCAGTCACATTGTTGAAATTCCCTGAACCTGTACCAACTAGAAAGAAGCTGAAACCATGTAAATGTATTGGATGACTTTCTGGACCCGCGAAATTAGTCCCTTGGTACACGATTTCAACCACGTCACCATAATTTATCATCTTCGCCTTTGTCCCTTGGGCTGTATACATTGATACGTTCGTCAAATCTCCTGTGAAGTTGAAAAAATTCGGTGGTTCACTTGGGAAATCTCTGTCGATAACGTCAGGCAACCCCCTGCATGTCCAAAGGTTTAATTCTGTAAGCGTCTTCTTATATATATATATATATATATATATATATAAGAAGGCTGGGGAACCCACTCAAAAAAATAAAAAATCTTAATTTTATTAGTTTTCTGTCTTTACTAAAGCGAGAACGACAATTTCCCACCCAAGGTTTGGCTAAACTAACTTTCCCACCGTTCGTTAGATTCTGTTATGTTTTTCATTAATATTTTACTGATAAGACAAAAATACCCTTAAACATTTGACTTTATAAATTTTTTAATTTTTTAATTAGCCAAAAAGTCAAAAAAGAAAAAATAATTAACCCTACTTAAAAAGTTACGAATAATGCCATAGAATTATTTAAAGTTAAATGACCTTAATATTTATTTATTTATAATGTCATCTATATTTCATCATTATTATTCAATAATATACTAAATTTATAATGTTTTTCATTGTTACCAATTAACATAAAAAATCAATATATCTAATTAATTAAATAAACAAAGGAAAAAAGAATCTTTACACCTGAACTAATAAATAATTGAGTAAAGACTTTGACTTAACTAAATTTTAATTTATAATAAACTAATAAGAAAGAAACTATTTAAGGGTATTTTCGTCATTTAAGTCAAATATTAACAGAAAATACTAACAAAACTTGACGAAGAGTGGGAAAATGTCATTTTGAAACTTGACGGGTGAGAAAATGTCGTTTCGCCAAACTTTAGGTGGGAAAATGTCGTTCTCCCTTTACTAAACTGTATTTGTTAATGTTTTAAAATTGATCCCACTCGCTTATTTTTCCATATGTAGATTAAATTAGTTATGATCTTACCCACTCACTTAATGTTCTTATAATTATTTTCTATTACTTAATTTCGACTTGAAATCCTTTCTTTTATTTAATTCTATACATTGAAGAATGTTGATCTTGTATTTAAAAATGTATATGTAGTAACACAAATAAAATCATACCTGTAGTATGCTTGCAGTATATCAATTTGGGGGATAACGAAACTAACATTATTCATGCTTGCAGCAATCCGATCACCATTACCGGTATCACATGACTTGTTGGGGCACGCCAACTGATTTATAGAGACTGCTATATAGATTCGTTGATCGAAATATTGCGGAACATTGATAGGATGCTCTTTACTGGCTAAGCTCTTTATGCTCTTAGTAAAATTTAGGGCAGCATTCATGTCATTGTAGGCAGGAAGAGGTGGGAAGAGAGGAGGTGATGGGGGAGAATATTCGCCTTCATACTGAACAATTGCTGTGCCGGCAGGCGTGTTGTTGGTAAATCGACCACTATCGGAGTAAGGAGTAGTAGCCATGTAATAGTGACTAAGATTTTGGTTTGCTGTGAACAAAACATCCATTGTTTGTCCAGGAGTTATCATTATATAACTTGTATTTACTGGTTTTAAGTATGCTGCATCTTGGCCAACGACAGTGAGGCGGTGGTTTGCAATTCCGAAAAATTGTTCATCGTTCATCACGGCATTGACTATGCGAAGAAGATAAGTCTTTCCATACAAAACCGGCAGGCGATGTATTGTCTCTGCAATATAAAATTGCTTTAGTGAGGTAATTACTCATGAAATAAAATTCAATAATATATATAGGAAAGGTTCGAGAGTCCCAAGTCTGAATTTGAGAATATATATATATAGGTCTTGTACCGTTGGAGCATTCATATAAGTCTCCTGGTTCACCGTTGATGGTAAAGCCATCTGATCTAGGTGGATTGCTACCAGTTTGGATTGAATTAGTAATCAACGCCATCACATCTCCTTTGAACCATGACGCTGCAGTGAATCATTAACTTTGAAACTTGTTAGATGAAGGCAATACCTTCTCTGTGAAAAATCATAAGGAATAATAATAGTACTCCGCAAATATAAAGTGGTATTGAAATTAGAAAATGTAAAATTTCACTATATACCTAGTATGATTATCTGTTCCTTGTAAGGCTTAGGAAATGGATGGGTTTGGTTGGGTTTTATTTATTTTGTATAGGATTTTAGGATAGTATTGGTTATTGGATATGGGAGTATTACGAGGTAAATTTTAAAAATTTATAAAAAAGCCCTTAGGTTTACTATTTACATAAAGACCCTAACATGTAAATGACAAAAAACACCCCACCATCTGCAGTGTCAGATTCCGCCACCACCGCCGGAATCTGCCGAAAAATTTCGTTACGGCACAGACTTGTCGGATCTGTGCCGTACACTGCGTTATGGCCTTTTCCGGCTAATCCATGGTGGATCTGGCCGGAAAAGGCTAGATCTACCGTTTGTTTTGGCCGTCGACGGCCGGAAAATCAAACGACGGCCATCTTTGGCCGGCGCGCGGCCAAAGATGTGGCGTCGTTTCCGGTCAACGACGGCCAAGATTCATTTCTTTGGCCGTCGCTACCCAGATCTGGCCTTTCCGGCCAGATCCGTGTGGATCTGGCCGGAAAAGGCCACACGGTGAACTTCCGGCATTTCTGGTCGGAGTTTGGCCGTGTACAGATTCCGGCTATCACCGACGGTGGTGGCCGGAATCGACAAGTTGGGTTGATGGGGGTGTTTTTGTTATTTTTAAACTTTTTTTTTAGGGGTATTTAGTGAAATTAATAACTTATGTGGTACAATGTAATTAAAAGAAATAGGGTAATATTTTGAGAATATTGTACCAAACGCTATTTGAAAAATAGGATCCAGAATAGGGATAAAAATATTACACCAAACGCAGCCGATAATATTTTCCACGAGCAGGTAAAATAACGATGGCACCATGGACGGTGGCACGAGTCCAGTCACTATGGGCATGCCACCAAAGGGTTCCTTCTTCAGTGGATAATATCACCTCGTAAGTGAAGTTGGTTCCGGGTCCAATTGGACACTGTGTTATGTTCTCAGGACCATCTGACCACGGGTTACTTGGTTGCCTCACTCCATGCCTGCATAAATAGAACGGAAAGGGTCGGAGATTTGAACTATGATCCATGAGTTTTTTCATTTTTCTTTATCTAGTTGAATGTAGGGATTCAAACTTTAAACTTTTAACCTTAATACCATATTAAATTGTCATTCTAACTAAAAGTTGCTAGTAGGTGACATCAATAATATATTAGTTTGCTAGAGAGAGAGAGTCATCACCAATGAATGGTGACGCCATATGTTCCTTGATTGATGACATTAACAAACACAGTTTCCCCTTTACGAGCCACAATCGTTGGCCCTGGAAAACTTCCATTTACTGTCAACATGCTTTTTGTGCTACACATTCTTGTGAAATTCGATTCTTGTAGCTGCAACCATGCATAGATACCCAATGAATTAATAAATATATATCATTTTATGCCATCCATGCATTATAATTCTAACTTTTTATTTTTTTTAATGGGATGTCAAACAGTTCAAACAAGAAACGTAAATTAACAATTGTAAATGCAAGAATATAGCCCTTACAACAAAATCATATTGACGAATCTTGGGACGCCGCCGAGCCACAGAAAGAGGCAGCCCATCCAAATACAGGAGCCCTAAAAACACTAAGATAAAACCCATATTTTTTGTACCCATTTTTTCTACTTTTGTGTTCTCAGGTTGCCTTAATTTTTTCTTGTGTGATG